ATCGTCGTAAACGTGAGGTTGGTGTAGCCCTCCGTGTAGCCCGCGAGCTGCTTGTCCGGGCCGAACCACGCCTTCCACTTGCTCTCGACAGACAGGTTGAGACCTTGTGTGAGCCAGCGCTGGGTGCCCATAAAGTTGACGTTGGAGTCCGCGTCGCCGCTGTACACGAGTACTTTGAGGCCGGCCTGGAGGATCTCGGGGTACTTGGCGAGCGCCGAGGAAGACCGCGCGTAGGCGTCGCTGACAGCGTCGTTGCAGCTCGCCCACGGCACAACAGTGTCAGACGCAGGGAGATGCAGTGCCGCGTGCACGGAGGCCTGGTGCAAGTAGGCGTCGGTGTACAAATCGGCGCAGGGGCCGTAGACGCCGCGGTGCATCGGCCGAATGTCATTGCGCGGGCGCAACGCGGCGACTTGGTCCATGTTGCTGAAGAGGCATATGTCACCGTAGATGTAATACTCGTTCATGGCCGTCATGTTGACGCGGTCAAGGACGGAGCTCATCGCGGTCTTGCACTTGGCGGGGCAGTCATCCGTCACTTGGCACTCGGCGATGCCGGCACCCGGACATGCCGTGTTGATGGCCGAGTAGTCGGAAAGCGAAAGAAGCGCGTGCGTGTAGAGGTAGTCAACGTACGAGTTGCCGTCGATGGTTTCGTCCGTGTAGCCATTCCCGAGCGCAAAACCCTTGAAGGTCACTGAGGTTAGCGGCGTCGAAACGAGCTTGTTGGCGAGCCACGGAAGGTACATGCCGGCGTAGCTCTCGCCCGTGATGTAGAAGTCCCGGTTGGTATACTTGGCGTACTTGGCAAAAAATTGCTGCAGGAACTCGTACGTGCGCGCTGTTGTCACGTCGTCATTGTAGTCGGTCGCGTTGAGGACGGGTTGACTAAAGCCGACGCCAGCCGGCGACTCGAGGAAGACCATGTTGACCTTGCGGTTCCACGCATACGGGTTCCGCTTCAGCGAGAGGTCGCTATTCACGACAAACGGGCCGAGTTCCGTGAAGAAGCCGATAAGGGACGAGCAGCCAGGGCCGCCGTTGAGCCAAAGCACAAGCGGCGCCGTCGACGGGTTCTCTTCGGCCTCAACGAGCCAGTAGAACATGCGCTGGCCGTTCGACGGCAGCGTGAGCTGACCCGCGTACTGGTCAAAGCTGATGTCATCGGCGAAGCCTGGCAGCGACGTGATCTTGTGGTCGGTTTGGTCTTGGGCGGCCATGGCAAAAATCAAAGTGACGCCAGGCACCAGCTGGCGCGCAAGTGCAATGCCCGTTTCAGCGCAACGTGCCACGATGCCACCCATCACCTGCGTCAAAGCGGGTCACCTTGCAAGTGAAGTGCAAGTAAAGTGACCATTCGGCGACGGCACGCTTCGGTGAGGCTCTCTGCGGCGCTGCTCGAATGGTGTCGTCTCTTCAGCGGGCGAGGCGACATCGCAGACCCAGGTCAAGTGACATGTAGAACGGCCGAAAGTGGTCGTGGATCGAGATAACTTGATATTTGTATGCTATCTGCACCATGTGCAAAAGTTGTGGTCGTGTTGAGTTTGATTGGACAAAACGTGTATCGACGCAGCGACAGCGCGTGGGATCGCGACAAGGTTCACATCGGAGTTGTGTGATTGTTTCACAGAAGAGTGCTCCACTGCCCAAAGCATTTAGCCCAACGCAAAGGGATGTAGCTCGCATAGGTCTATGTCAACGTATGTTACCTCTTTAATCGTGGCCCTGCAGCTCCATTACTACGGGGTAGCATCGCTGCCATACTGCGTCGGTTGACCGTTCGCCTTGAGCTCGACATAAGCCGACTTCTTGTGCACAGTGCGCCGGTGCCACGCTGCCGCGCCAACAGCGATTGCCACGATGCTGGCGGCGCCGAGGAGAAGCCACAAGGCAGTGTTGGAGACACTTGCTTCGTCAAAAAAGTCGGGCGCGGCGCCCGTGATGTTCTCAAGCTCGTCCTTGGGGTACGTGAACGTCGTGCAGACGTCGTAACCGTAGAGAAAGCACTCGAACAAGTAGAGACCGTGGAGTGGCCGCACAGCCGGCACCATGTGGCCCGCGCCCTTGATCGTCGTAAAGGTCACGTTGGTGTAGCCTTCCGTGTAGCCCGCGAGCTGCTGGTCCGGGCCAAACCACGCGTGCCACTTGGCTTCGACTGAGAGGTTGAGGCCGCCGCTCGTGAGCCAGCGCTGCGTGCCGATAAAGTTCACAACCGAGTCAGCATCGCCGCTGTAAATAAGGGCCTTCAAGCCTGCGCGAAGGATCGTCGGGTACTTGGGCAAGGCAGAGAACGTCCGCGTGTACGCAGAGCTCACACGGTTGTTGCATTGCGTCCACGCGCTGACGTTGGCGCTCGACGCGTGAATCGCGGTCTGCACGGACGCCTGGCTCAAGTACGCAGCCGCGAACGTAGCTTGGCACGGGCCAATGACGCCCCGGTGCATTGGGCGGACGTAGCGATATTGCAGCGCCGAGAGCTGGCCGTCTCGGAGAAGACACTTGTCGCCGTTGAGGTAGTATGGGTCGAGAAACGACGTGTTGGCTTCGGCGTTGGCCACGTCGATAGCGCGCCCGCAGGCGTCGTTGCACTTGTCATAGTACAAGCACTGCGCGAGTACTGTGTGCTTGCACGCGGTCTGCAGGGTCGTATAGCTCTCAACCGAGATGAGGCCGTGCGTGTAGTCATAGTCCATTTGCGCATTCGAGTCGATGACTTCGTCCGTGAACGGATTCCCGATCGCAAAGCCCCTGAGCGTGATGGACGGTAGCGGCGCCTTGACGAGCTCGTGGACCAAAAATGGAATGTATACGCCAGCGTAGCTCTCACCCGTGATGTAAAAGTCCCGGCCGTGGTACGAGGGGTAGGCCGCGAGGAACTGCTGAAGGAACTCATAGGTGCGCGCGGTCGTAAAGTCATCCGTGTAGTTGCGTAGGGGTAGCTCCGGCGTGCTAAAGCCGACGCCGGCCGGCGACTCGAGGAAGACCATGTTGGCCTTGCGGTTCCACGCATACGGGTTGCGCTGCACGCTCAAGTCGCTGTTGACGAC